TGTAATCATGCTCGGAGTCTCAAAAAATACAAGGATAATGCCGACAGATATATAGATGACCTTATGAAACATGTAAGTAGCTTTCATTGGCCACTTCCGATAAAGAAATGTGACTGAGACCTCAATTCTCTGCAACAGTGTATTCCGGTTGCCAAATCCAACCACTTCGAGATGATTGTTGTAGCTGTATCAAACCATATATCGGATCATAGCTTTCAGATGACGCGCTCAACGGTAGGGGTCAATAAAATTGTCAAGGAGATATACGCAATCGATGGCGTCAATAAATTCGCAACAGAAGTACAAGCACACTTGGTCGGTTGAAAACCCAGCGAGCTGGCCAAATCACAACCTGGTAGGTTTTCATAGGGTTTCCATGATCTCGAACTTGTATTTTTACATCTTTCCCTTATGATTTATTAGAGAATAGCCGCAAGTTTCATGCCAGGGTGGTCGGGTCCCTCTCAACTTATTGTAGTAAGTCCTACAGAGTGATCAGAACTACATAGTCACAGCTAATATGTACATTTCTTTCTTTAGAGGGAGTGACCGGCTTGAAACATTGACCATGGAGTACTTGTGACGCCACTTTCAAGGAAGCCAGATTCAAATTCACTTTACTCCCTGGTGCCCGATCGGTTGAAGAAACCTTCAAGACCAAAAGCAACAACATAAGCCGTGCCAAACTTTTGGCCATCGAAAGCGACCTCGAGAACAACTTGATACACCTAGCCCCCATCAACCAAACCTCTTCGGCTCAAACTCAACGCACCAAAAACACTGAACATACTGCTAACATTGGGACAGCCAATAACTGATATCCAATAGTCTCAAGATTGTACTTTCCCCATCTAATTCCGACAAAAACTAACCAAACCTGATTGAAGGTTCTCGTCGATATGTTTTTTGTGATTACTTTTAGAGTTTTTATGTTTGGTTTCAACTGTTTTCAATCTCCGATGCTATCCTTTTATCTTATACATTCTCACTCGATATGAAATGAAATGGATAACACCCCATATGCCTGACTTACACGTGTTTGATTAAGATTAACGTTCTGTTTGAACACGCCCGAAATGCTGATTGATCAATGAGTTCGGCAAGGATCCTTTACAATAGGATATCACTTGTATTTGATACAAGCGATATTAACACGGCCGAGACATGACTTGATGAATGAGAGCAAGTCATTCGCGCTGCTGCAATGCAACCCTTCAATTATACAACGTAAACAGGAAGTTTATCTATTGATAAACATACACGTCACCACGATTCGCGTCCTCAAGGCTTCTCACCCTCCGATCATCGGGATGAAGGTCATCTCTTGGACTTAAAAGCTGTAAGTCATTTCGATTCTCCCACTTCTCATTGCTCCAGATCCATCCAGAGTTATCTATCATCCACCAACACTACACTTTTATTACCAATACTACTCTTTTATTACTTCAACTATTGTGTTTTACTTCGCATCCACTACATTAGCTCTAAACTCGTCAAGTTCAAGTCATTCTTACAAATCCCATCATGTCTTCACCTTTTACTTCCAACGGCATCGATACTTCTTCAGATGTCCTAACTCCTACCACGCCTCTTCATATCTCGACCCTTCCTGTCAGTTCAGCTGCTGCGAGATCGATTCTCGAAGTTGTCATGTCTACTCGCGGAAGCGCTGAACGTGACCCCGTGTCAATCCCTTTAACTGCCCACCCGGGTGTCAAGGAAGGCAAAGACCAGTGCATGAAGTGTGGCATGATTGGGCACCGTACTTATCAATGCGCTGAATATTCAACTTCCGCCGAATCGATCCCAGACTGGCGCCGTACAACTAACGGTAAGATCTACAGTGTCAAGGCATTACTCGGTATGCATCCTTACTGCAAGTGGACTATGGACACGGTATTGGAAGATTCCTCGAGGTAAGTCTCTTTGCTCTACATCTCAACATCAACAAGATTTCTCACTCGCATAGGTGCCTTCCCCAGTCGAAACCTTGATGATAATAGCCCATCGGCCACACCCACCCCTGTCCCTACGAGTGTCGCATCCAAGGCTTCAAATGACGAATCGACCAACTTGACTTCGAATGACAATTCGACCAATTTGCCTGCAAACGAAGATACGACCAATTTAAATATTGAAGCCATGTATTTCGAAATCGGTCGTTCAGTCACTTCCGCATGGACCGAGGGGATTGATATCAGTCCTCCATCCCCCACCCCTCCGGCTACCTTGTCTTCACCATCTGCGGTGGTGAATCCAAGACAAGATTCTCGATCGAAGGGAAAAGGATCTCTCCACCAAGCTTTCAATCCTTTGGTGACCCCATGGAACGATTGGTACGAAATTTGGAATCGGATCCCGTAAGTGAAGTCACTCTGGTATCAATCATAATATCCGAACACTTCTAAAAGTGTTGTCTCTTATCTTTTCTTTGTGTAGCAAGCACCAGCAATGCTGCTGCTGCCGCGGCCATAAGCAAACGTGTCACAGGTCTGAACCATATAGCCGTAACCGTCGGGCGGGATCCTGTCCTATGGAGGAGTCTTGATTCGAGAATGATCATCCTCTGTCTCTCGAACTCCCATTATCGTATTTCTTTATTATGAAACAATTCAGCAGTCAATCGAAATGACGCAAG